TTTGATTTGTATTAATCTACATTTTCTAATCGAATATCTTTGCCTAATTTACAATATGCTTATAAGAACTTTTAAAACTATTATTTAAATGTTACATATCGCTTTTTGTAGTGTTGATTTTGAATTAAAGTTTTGTATTTGAAAGTATAAATAGAGTATTACTATTTGCAGCCGCTCACTATCGTAGTCGTCCTATATGATATATATGTAGGGATTAGTAATTTGATACATTAATGTGGTAGTTTAGTTTTTGATGTATCAAATTATTTACCGCCACATATATGTTACGTAGAGAGATTGCAAATAATATTATTCATATAAATATTGTTATTCTGAAGTTAATTTCATCACCAATTTCAATTTCATTTTATAATGTAGGGTTTCACTCTATAAGTGTTAATATTCTAAAAAAAATGGTGCTAAAATTGAAAATATGTTTGGTGTTGGTGAATTTTGCATGGTTAGCTTTTTTTCGTCATGTTATGATATTTGTTATTTACTAAACAGTGGCATGTTGTTGATGCTTTTTAATTAAAAGATCACATAGTATGTAATTTAACTTTTTATATTAAACTTTTTGTCTGCGCTTGCAATGTACTCATAAAACTTCTTAACTGATCTTACTTTCTATTATTTTTGTGTTGGATATAAAGTAAGGTTTTGCATTTAAAATTGACGTTAAGATGTCACTTTTAAATTAAAAAGTCGTGAAACATCTCATATGGATGGATAACTTTGATGAACAAAATCAATATTTATTTATCATGGTGGCAAAAATCAGGACAACCAATACATAGTTTTTAAAGGGACTGAATTGCCATCCCCATAAAATGCACATAAATCGAACTTGAGGGAGGATATATTGTTGTGTTAGATAATAATTCAAGTTTTTACATAAGAAAATGACATTCTTTTGCCACTTTTTAATAGAACATTTTTGGCTAAAATTTCAATATGACTAAAAAAAACTGCTTAAATAATATTTTAACTATCAATTTTATTTCTGTAACGTTAGATGTGAATTGGGATTCTAAATTTGAAAGTGACATGATGTGTCACTTTTGAATGAAAAGATCACAATACGTAATTTGACCTTTTTAGACAACGTTTGTTGCCTTATCAATTGAACTCTTTTTTTCGACCCCAGCCTACCGTATTTTGTTGTTCTCATGTACCGTCGGATAAAGATACTCAATCAGACATTCCCAAATACCCACACCATACGGTTGTAACTAAGATTACATTTATTCATGAAAAGTCAAATATTGTGTTACTTCTCCAATAAAAAGTTACACATGTATTTTAATTGAGTGAAATGTTCGTGCTTATTTTTCAAAATTTTAACAACGTTAGTGTTTTGGGACTAATTGGGCCTCTTGAAATTATGGCATCGACCCCCTAACACTATAGTGCTTGTCTGGGATGGATTTTCTATCATATTTTTAGTGTCTTTGTAACTGTTATACAATGTCATTGTCAGTGGTCAAAGCCACAATTTTTGAATGAACTAGGTAGAATGACAAATGTATCCTTTTACTCTCATTTCATTCTTCATTACAATCCGGCCCCCAACATGAAAAAATTAAGAATATCTTACAAAAAACATTAAGCAAATAAAAATAACGATAAGATGAAAGACAATCTCTACATATTGGTTTCATTCCCTGGAAGTCGCAATCGTCATAAGTGAAATTCTCCTCCCACATACCTACCGTAGAAGTCTTT